TGAACTTTAAACATGGGGATAGTGTGTACCATCGTAGGAAGACCATCTGATTATATTTTGGAGTTAGTGGATCAGCTTTGATATTGCAATATCTTAAGAACAACTACAGGTATGAGCTTCAAACAATGGTATAAGTTGTGTCACCATAGAAAGAAGGCCTAAGTAGATTTAAGGGGAAGTTTAACAAAAGTCAAAGGTCATAGAGGTCATTTTTTTAAAGTAGAGGTAGAACCCTCGTTATCACAATATGTCAAGAACTTCTTGAGGTATGAGCTTCAAACATGGTGACAGTATTACTATAGGAAGATGATCCAATTAAATTTTGAGGCTAGTAAGTCAAGATCATAGTTGTCGGTTAGCATTTGACTATAGGCTTTTTGTTTTAATTGTGATATGTCACAAATAATTACCTACATGTACACTGATTTTGGGACAGAGGTATAAAGGAGACCTAGTTGCATTTGTCTTGTTCTATGTTACCCCACTCTTTAACAAAAATTCTGTTTCACCATTTCCTCTAACAAGGCTATATTTCTGCACCTTAAAGGCTGGTGCAGATATGACGGGGTAAACCACTTCCTAAAAAAGAAAACACTGCAGGTTTTTTTTAATGTGTAAATGGATTACAACTGCGTCCAACTGCGTACAACAAATGTCCAACACCTATTCACTTACCTCTGTGTTGTGAGATAGAAAATGTGACGCGTATCACACTTTATATCATCATAAAATACCTTCCACAGTTTACCGTTGCATATCTGAATGAGGCTTAAAGCCTGTCTGTTTTAGTTTGGCCAGGGGAATTAGACCTCCCTGCAATGTCACTGACAGGTGGTTATCTCATCAAATCAGCTCTCAATCAACATAAGAAAAAGGGCCTGGATCATGGGGGACCAATGCAGGCACCGATTAGGCATTGTTTGCTATATAGAGGGCGCAAGTAGCTATAAGTAAGTAGTGCAGTGGGGCTTTAATACATGTACATTCCCATGCACATAGAGAGCCCCACAGTGAAATAAACATAATTTATATGAATATAATCATGAATTCCTGTTAATAATCTATTTCAAATTCTTTTCTTTCTCTCGTTGTTCAGGTTCTCGTCTTGGAAGATGCTCCCAACGGCGTGTTATCAGGTAAAGCAGCGGACATGTGGGTCGTGATGATCCCCGATGAGAGGCTCATCGGCACTGATGATACCATCTCGGCTGATCAAGTACTCAAGAACATGGAAGATATTATACCGGAGGAGTGGGGTTTGCCCCCCTTCAATCAGAGCTGATGAAGAGTAGGTTTGCCCCCCTCCCCCCGCCTCCCTCTCCCCCTTCACATGGAGAAGCTGATGAAAGTGAACGGAAGAATTTATAACTGAGGAGTAGGGTTTGCGCCTTCAGAGAGAGAGAATTTGAAGATCTTTGTTCCTCTCATCCAGAGCTATTAATGAACTTTATGGTAAATTTTATACCAGGCTAGGGAGTTTTTCTCCAATTGCTGAGGGGGAATTTAATCTATAGATCAATAGATCAATGGCTCTTCCAATTTTTGTTTTGGCATTATTATCCCAAATGGTCTAAAGTATATATATGTAGTGAATACTAATGTTTAAATATGAAGGATATATGATTTATGGGTAAAAATGTGAATATGATTACCTTATTTGCATAAATTACCATAAATATGCAAATTAGTGAATTTTTCGAGAAAAAAAAATTGAATTACCATAGTAATCTATTCACTTGACATGCATGCACATTTTTGCGGCGATCGGCCAAGATCATTGGGAAGGGGCCTTAGAAGCCATCTCCTCCCCCCAGGAACTTTTTAGAGTGGGGGTAACATAGAACAAGAATAATGCATCTACTGTACGTCTCCTTTATACCGGAGGATAGGAATCCCCCCCCCCCTCCTTTTACTTCAGGTAATGAAGAGTATGGAAAATTTTATACAGGAGAAGTGGGGAGTTGCTGAAGAGTATTACAGAATTTATGAATTCATGGAATGGGTCCCCCCCCCTCCCCCACATAGTGAAATTGAGGAAGTATATGAAGGATTTTATACCAGATGAGATCAGTGGGTTTTGTATCCCATTTTTTTAGATTTGATGAAGTGTATTGACAATTCTGTACAACTGCTTTTGCCTGACGGATCCTCCATAGGTCGGAAGATGATACAAATTCATACCTCAGAATTATATTTTACTTTATGACGAGTACGACTATACCTCATACGACAGCAATACTTGATAGCTTCTGATACTATAGCGCTCATATTATGGCGCTAAAGGTGCTCCAAATACACCCCAGCTTTAGCTAGGCTACCAGTATCGTTTCTCTTGAAATGAAAGGATATGTTCCTTACCAGGTACGCATTGGGGGAAAGTGGCAAAAACAGATTGATATCTTACCAAATATATCAGTGTACCATGGGAGGGCACAAACCTACAAAGTCAGGGGAAAAAATACTTCGGGGGCTACTTTTCAAGCTTGCCTGCATGAAAATAACACTCTTTATTTTGTTTTGCATTGAACTCTATGTAATTTTGGGGGGCTCTTTTATGACTTTCGGGGGCTAATTCGCCCCAAGCCCCCATGTATTTTTTTCCCTCTACAAAGTATGCATCTATAATGAAGCATGGCAACCATTTAACCATGACATCTCTTCTACTATTCTTTATTACCAGCTTAGTATCACTATATTTGACAGACAGTTATCTTCATATTTCAGTAAATTTTCTAGCTTGTGGGGGGGGGGGGGGGGGTTATTGAACATTTAGATGTACGTGCAGGTTACAAATCATTACAAAAAAATCCTAGGGTGGATTGAAGGAGTGGAAATATTCCATGTGGTAATGATTATTTTTATATGGAATTCAGCTTACATGAAGGATACCCCATCATTTGTTTGTATGATTTGTCAAGGTTAGTTCTCATGTCAAGGGTCAGGGTTAATAGGGTAAAGGTTGCTTGTGTGGTGGGGGTATCCTGCGGTACCCTCAATTGAATGATTGTCTTTAAGTCCAGCAGGTAGTATTCTGTATACCGGTATACATTCAAACCTGCTTTAGTAACCACCTGTCTATAAAGACCACATTTTGTGTTCCCCTTTATAAGTGTTTCCCATTAAAACCTACATTAAATAAAAATTATACATAAAGGCCACCTGCTAAAAGATTTCACTACTCTTAGAAACTTCTTTGATTATTAATTTTTGTTAATAAATAACCGTATGTAATATTATGTAGTAATCATTCATGTAATGGCACAGTCACACCTTTGGGTATTTGGCTTGCGTATTGCTGCGTATTTATGGCAAGCCCTTTTAACATTTATTCCTATTTCTTGATTATCAAGAAACGATTTTTTTTGTTGTAAGCATTGGTAACTCTTGATAAAATAGGAATAAATGTTAAAACGGCTTGCCATACATACGCAGCAATACGCAAGCCAAATACGCAAAGGTGTGATGGAGGCATAAGAGTATTCATAGTATACTATAATCAACTGAGATTTAGTCGCAATAATGTTTTTACCAATGAGTTAAACAAACCTCGGCATGTTTGTTGTAGGATGTGAATAAAGACATGTATTTTCTTATTGCAAAGTGTAAATTGATCTTCTGTGAATTTCTCTTTCAATACTCTTGTTAGACTTTCATAGCTTTTGATTGTGTACACAATGTATTATGCAGCTGAAATAGATGTTCGGTGATTCATTGATATGATCTATGCGTGGCCCATTGCGTACGAAACAAGTTATTTCTGATTCTAATAAAGATAATATGTCTTGCATTATAACCAGGATTGCCTCATCAGTAACTGAGGGCCCTATAAAAATACCCCTGTGTTATGCTTGCTTTAATCATGGTCTTACTTGAATTTGACCCATTAATTGCTTTATTTGACATTATTTCACAACACATGTATTTTTAAATTTTATTTAATACTTTTAGACAAAGAGAAGATTTTATTTCATGTTAATATTAAATAGTTCCATGAATTGTTAAGTGAGATTATTGGAATACTATTTTTGTTTCAAGAAAATGAAAAAAAAGAAACCATAATAAGCCTGTCTCACAAAATTAAATTTTGGTATTTGGATTGAACTTAATGGCACAGTTTGCCAAGATTTAAGGGACCAATCAGATGAAAGCAGATTAATTTGTGATAATATAATATGTATAGAATTAACAGGGGAAATAGACACACACTTTACCTGCCATTCTATGGGTAAATGGTTGAGGAGTATAAAGAAAATAAAGGATGTTAACCCGTTGCTTACTGGAACCTGGTGGTCCCTGTGTTAAGCCTATGGGAATGAGATAAATCAGTAGCCAACGGGTTAAAACACCTGTGCACGGAACTCAAGATGGACTTGGGAGTGAGAGTGAGAGAGAGAGAGAGAGAGGGGGGGGGGGGGGGTAGAGAAAGAGAAAAGTGGAAATAAGAGAGAGAGAGAGAGAGAGAGAGAGAGAGAGAGAATGATAAAGGTAAAGGTTTGGTATATACCGGAAAAAGGTTGTGCAGGTACAGAGAGAGAGAGAGAGAGGATCGAGCTAGAATGATAAAGGTAAAGGTTTGGTATATACCGGAATAAAGTTTTGCAGGTACAGAGAGAGAGAGAGAGAGAGAGAGAGAGAGGATCGAGCTAGAATGATAAAGGTAAAGGTTTGGTATATACCGGAATAAAGTTTTGCAGGTACAGAGAGAGAGAGAGAGAGAGAGAGAGGGGATTGAGCTAGAATGATAAAGGTAAAGGTTTGGTATATACCGGAAAAAAGTTTTGCAGGTACAGAGAGAGAGAGAGAGAGGATTGAGCTACAATGATAAAGGTAAAGGTTTGGTATATACCGGAAATTTTTTTGCAGGTACAGAGAGAGAGAGAGAGAGAGAGAGAGAGAGAGAGGATCGAGCTAGAATAATAACAGGTAAAGGTTTGGTATATACCGGAAAAAAGTTTTGCAGGTACAGAGAGAGAGAGAGAGAGAGAGAGAGAGAGAGAGAGGGAGAGAGAGGATCGAGCTAGAGAGAATGGGAGCAAGATTATGGTGCAGGAAAGTATCGAAATGCAGAGGGATCACAATTTATGTTACCCATCATATGACACCACCAACTGGTCCCTGTAACAGAAAGGTTTGCTATCAATTACAAAAAGACCATGGCCAATCAAGACGAATTTAGCATGCGTTCAAAAGACTGATCAGTAAGTAATCCTAGTCTTTGTTTTAAATTTGCAATTGATCACAAACATGTGTGTTACCAGACCCTAGCTGGTATGGCAAACAGTTATATGTTAGCTATCTCTCTCTCTCTTTATCTATCGGGCAACTTAATTATCCAGATACTCTGTATTTCCGCCTCAATAAAATACCATCTTTCCAACATTCATCCATTTTCCATTTCTCTCTTCTTCCCATCCAATATTCTCATCCTTACTCATTTATGAACTAACTGGATGTGAAACATTATGGCCCGAATTCACAAAGGAGGTTTGTCGACAAACCGTGGTTTTCGTACGTCATATGACGCGTTTTACGCGTTTTTTACAAACCTGGTTTGTAAAGAACAAAAGGAGGTTTGGCGAAACAAAAGGAGGTTTGAGCTCAAACCTTGGTCTGAGCTCAAACCTTGCTTTGTGAATTCGGGCCTTCATGTCAGACTATCAGGCGCGTAGCCAGGGGGGGGGGGCGGTGGGGGCGGTCGCCCCCCCCCCCAAAACGCCGGCCAAAAAAAAAAAAAGAGAGAAAGAGGAGAAGAAAAAAAAGGAAGACGTAGGAAGAAAAAGGGAAGAGGAGTCGAGAACGGTACAACGAATCGTCAAAGCTTCCGCGCTTCGCGCGGGAAGGGGGGAACTGGGTTCAAATTTAGGATTAAGGGTCGGGAAAGGTACAACGAATCATCTTCTTTCTCTAATAATTTAATGAAACGTCAAAACTTCGCACGAGAGGGGGGGGGGGGGGGGGGACAGACTTCAGACAATGATTAAGGGTCGGGAAAGGAACAACGAATCGTCTTCTTTCTCTAATAATTAAATGAAACGTCAAAACTTCGCACGAGAGGGGGGGGGGAACAGAATTCAGACAAGGATTTAGAGTCGAGAAAGGTACAACGAATCGTCTTCTTTCTCTAACAATTTAATAAAACGTCAAAGCTTCGCGTGAGAGGGGGAGGGACTAAATTCAGACAAGGATTCAGTCGAGAAAGGGACAACGAATCGTCATCTTTCAAAGCTTCCGCGCTTCGCGCGGGAGGGAGACTGAGTACAGATAAGGATTAAGAGTCGGGAAATTAGGTACAACGATTACGAATCGTTTCTTTTCTCTAATATTTTAATGAAACGTCAAAGCTTCGCGCGAGAGGGGGGAGGGACTGAATTCAGACAAGGATTATGAGTCGTGCAGGGTACAACGAATCGTCTTCTTTCAAAGCTTCTGCGCTTCGCGCGGGAGGGGGGAAACTCCCCCCTCCCTGCACCCACCCCCCTAGGGAGCGCGCTTCGCGCGCTCTTTAAGTGATTCGCACGCTTCGCGTGCTCACTATACCGCCCCCCCTAAAATGAAATCCTGGCTACGCGCTTGCAGACTATATTGTGACGAATATATGAAAATGATCTTTCTCTTTCTTACTCTTTCTCTTTATATATTTGTGAATATTATATAAAATGTCTTTTATAGTCGTTACTTATTTGTGACATGTTTTTAACGGATTGCTCTGAACGAGCGACTAGTCTACAAGTAGCATGTGCTCTTTGTTTATCAACAATGCTTAATTTATTCCACTATTGATCGATAACTTAATATTCATGTATTATTCATTAGTTTAAGGCGCGATCCAAGGTGCGCAGCCAATTAAATGATTGTATATGCGCGTACAGCTTTCTTTTCCATGCGCGACCCAACCAGTATAAATAGTCCGCGCGTGGGTTACTGGTTACCCAGGTACGTGACTGACAGCTTTTTACAGGCTAGTACGTACGCGACTACAGTTTTATTTGCAGGGTATTACGCGAAAGGTGAATATAAATAGTGACTCATACAATGTTTACTTATGCAAATTTACTAGGATTGTTCCAAAATATGGAGTGAAAGGGATATTTTATTGTTCTATGGATCAATGCGGTCAGAGTGGTGTATATGAAGAGAGGTTTTGAAGTATTTTTGATGGTGATATATTAAGTTGGAAATAGGCATCTATATGTGTTATAGTTTGGATGGGGGGAAGCAAGACGGAATGTCCAGTACCGGTAGTGAATGGACGAAACGTCCTTGAACTTGTCTAGGACGGTCGGTGCGTCCTATTTTAGAGGGACGGAACGTCCCATTATCGTTTTAGGGACACAGTGTCTCCCTTAAGTGTATGAATATTGGCATGGGATTATAGTTTAATTATTATAGAGATATCATTATCATTATACAAATACATGAAAGATGTTTTTCTTATGTGAAATGTCTATTTTGTGTGATTATCTTCTTCTTTGTGAAGATAATATTGCCATTGTTAAGGAATAAATCTAGAATTGGTCAACCTATTTTGGAAGAGAGAGATTTTGCTCTTTGGTGTCCTAATTGATTAATTTGGACACATAAAATTGAGTGTGATTCAGGTCGTTGGGCAGACTGACAATCTGTCCCAAATGCGGTCATATCTCAAGTCTAGCCATTTCTAGTTTAATTTCTATGGCCAGTTTAACTATGTTTGATAAGAAATATTACATTGTATTGTTGTCTTGATTTTCTCCTAGACTATGAATATTTGGAAAGGAAGGCTTCGGTCCTCTGTGACCTAATTAAGGCCGAAAGTCACCAGTGCCTCCGTAGTTTAATTCATATATTTAATATTGTATAACGCTTAAACTTATAACACATGTATTCGCCTATCTAGAGGGCGTGATACTCCGTAGATCGTATAATGATGTTTTAATGAACTTGATATTGTATATAGATATTGTATAGAAAGTGTATAAAGGATCGAGAGAGTTGGAGAAGCAACTTTGTCGTATATCTATAGTTTATTATCTACATTTATTTAATGCATATATAACAGTTTATTACAGACATGAGTGTAACTCCCCCCCCCCCCCCCCCCTTCCTCCTTCTTCGTCCTGTCTTGGAAGGGACAGTGTGTCCTTCAACCTGGAATGGACACAGAACGTTATATGTATAGACAATGCATGGGCTTGTCTTGGAGGACACAGTGTCCTTAGATTTGGACATGGACACAGTGTCTCTTTTCTTCCCCCCCCCCCCTTCTTACTCATTTGAATTGCACTCATTATTGTATATAGCATGACATGTATATTAATAGAATGACATTGAATAGTGGACAGTTGAATATGTACACTCGTAGTTAATTAATTAAATAGCTGCATTTACGAGCCTATCTAAATCAGGCAATTATTACTTTACTACATAATTAAGAGGTGCGAACTTAAGACAGTAAGGGACGAATTCAATGGAATGCCGGTTATCTTTGAATTTAGAAAGTCAAATCTTATACAAGTATATTCTGGAGTAAGTTATAACTAGGAGATAAATACTCGAGGCTAGTTTATAACGGTGATGATGGATTTATATAGGTACAATGTTTAACCGACAGAGTGTGTTAGCTTGTTACTTAATAAAGGAGTGGAAAGACTTTTGAAATCCTGGTCGGAAGGGTGTATTGGTTTAAATGTTTCATTCTTGTAGAATGGGGACGATAGGGACACATTGGCCAAAGGTGTCGGGCGCAGGTAGATAGTTGTTTCAAGGGGTAGGAGTACCGAGAATACTAGTAGTCGGTCAGAATAGAGTTACTTGTAATAGGAGTTAGAAAGAAATGCTAACTTTGGTTTGATAGCCATGGTGGTTTGTAAAGTTCGTTAGAAAAGCCTCTATCTAAGTTCAGTAAGTTTATACATGTACATTATTTAAATCGTATGCAGTCTATACTAGCCAATTAAGTGTTGACATCCTGTAAAAATGAAGCTAAGAAATACTGTATAAATTATATAAGCAGTAAACATTTATTACAATAATTAATTAATGTATATCTAGTAGCAATCAGTAAGTTAGTAAGTTCATGGAAGTATTTCTATTCTTGTTGAGAGTTTTACAGTTCTTATATTGTTGAATAGTTGCCTAGAAATGGCTTAGTGAATAATAAATTCATTATTCGATTTTAGATCGATTTCAAGTTACAAATCTTGTTAGTCTGGTTTGCCTAGTAAATTAAGTATGCATTGTTGATGATCTATAGTAGATTTGGAACTACTGTAGGATTTATTACTAAACAGGAACACAAGGACTTCGTCTGTATATTTCAGACAAACGGACTCAGGTCATCGTGCCTTATATATCGCTCGGAAGTGTGAAAGGGAATAAGATACTATTTTTGTTATTTAGTGAGTGACTGAGTGGAAGACTTGATACACAGAAATGAATGTATGGGACATGATTATGGTCTAAATGGTGTTGTGAGGCTTGTTAGAGAGACAAAAACATGATTAGTTCCTACTTAATGATACTTAATTACGGTATCAGGGGTGAGAATAACACTCACCTATAAAAGGATGGAAGATATTGTGAAGTGGTTTGAGACTCTAGAAGCTAACTTTGAGTGGAAATGGCCAAATCAATACAGGATTTTCCCAGAGTGAGACAGTGCGTCTTACACGTGACGAGAGACAGATTGGGAAAGGACGAGACAGTGCGTCCCAAAAGGAAGCAATTGCCATACGTCACAATGACTTTAAGCGTATACTAGTAGAAGGACGCATGGTCCGGTTTCTTAGGAATCTGTGTATGTAAGTGAGAGTGTATCAGATTACAGAGTGAATGTAAACACACAAACCGTGTTGTTTTGGAGATCCTAGCGCTCCAGATTAAGACTAGGTGGTGGCAGCAACCGTCAGAATTAAGGGTATAAGAGACTGACATAAAAATGGTTATGAATGTAGTCTTCTTCCCAGACCTGTTTTACTTGTATTCCCTATATTGATAGAATTCGCTATAATGGTAGCAGGAGAAAGTTTATGTAGCGATGGGGATGATTTTGGGACAATGGTGGAAGCATATTAACCACCCCCCTCGATTCCCCGATTCCCTAGAACCGTCACAATGGTGGCATTTCTATCAACCCCCCCCCCCCCCTCTTCTTCCCTGATTTCACACGCCCATAGAACCGTCACAATGGTGGCAGCGGTGGGATTTCTATCAAACCCCC